TTCCACTTCCTGTCAGCCGAGAACGCTAGCCCGAGAAGACGCAATGAGTCACTCTCCTGGAAAACCATTTAAAACTTATATGACTCTATGTCCATGACGTTCATCTGTTCATTGCTAAAATCAAAGAATTAGGGAGAAACGTGCTGATAAATAAATGACGAAGAAAATTTTTCATTAAATATTCAAACATTTAGCATAACTGTTTTATTAAGTGTAAGACAGTCTTTAATTCTGTCAGTAATAACATTGAAGTCTTTATCCTGAAAGCCCAACTCAGATGGACGGGGCAAATTATCCGGATGGACAATGTCAGAATACCAAAGCCTCTTCTCTATGATCAGTCCTCTATGGGAAAGAGAGAGTGTGGTAGGTTAATGGAATGTTTCAAAGTCTGCATCAAGGCCAACATAGCCCACATGGGAATATCCCCAAAGCAGTTTGAAGAGTGTGAACAGGAATCAACTGGATGTCATACCCTGACACGTGAAGCAAAAAAGACATTTGAAAAAAACCGATGTCACAGCATCAATGAGGCCCGTGAAAAAAAGGAAGGGAGTAGTAGAAGCATCCAAACTTCCAGGCTAGTTTCCATGTCCCCATTGCCGTTCCCCACAGTGGAATCCACAGTCACCTTCGATTTCACATAAATGTCATTGTCGAAGCCAACCGACTATATATATATAGTCTTAAGGTGTGCTATATTTATGGAATAAAGTGCTCAATATCAGAGATAGAGCGTGTGAACATAGAAGTCAACACTTAGAGGCGACAGTCTGTTTCATGCAATCGTCAGGCCACCATATATATATATATATATATATATATATATATATATATATATATATATATATATATATATATATATATCATTCGCAGATAGTACTGTTTCGCTTAATACAACGGAATGCCTCAAGTCCGGATCGAAACCCAAGCGATGTGTTGTCAGTCAGAGTTTCTACCACTGAGCCATCTTCACTGACAGAATGAGTCAGCCAAATCTAGCGTATTGCTTTTACAAACGTAAACAAACGCCAAGCAGCCATAGTGTTTCATTCATTTTACTGAATTGCTTCGCATTTACGCAGGTGACTTCTGTTTTTAGAATTAGCTTGTCATTCAACAGCGATCAATTGAAAATATATTATGTCATTCGCAGACAGTATTGTTTCGCTGTATCACAGCTACTCAGTGCAACTAGACAACCCCGGATCGAAATATATATATATATATATATATATATATATATATATATATATATATATATATATATTCAACTGTATAACGTAGATATCTAGCAGAAACTAAAATTATAATTATTTTCATGATTTGTTTATGTCATCGAAAAATCGTCAGTATGAATCACATTGATTGCACATTAAACAGTACAAA